GTTCCATTAGTGGCATGGATCGCATTTGTTTAAGTATAATTCAAGGAGTATCGTCATCGTGTGTTAATCGTGCTTTTGTCGCACAATGAAATCGCCTTTAATTTGTACGAAACTTCAGAATTTCAGTTAGATGTCTCAGATAGTCACCAAACATTTTGATTCAAGAAAATAGACACAAAACTTACTGGGAAAACGATAACTAAGGGTAGAGAAGACTAAGCAGGTTTCTAACAAAACAGTGTTCGCTAAATTATTAAGATTCGCTAACCGTAACTTAGCGCCTTTTCAAGATGAATAATTATGGTATGAAATTCGTGGAGAATGTGTTATTTTTCAGTCATATTTAACACCCAGCGTTACTTTTTAAATACTACTTGCGACATGACCAAAATATACCATTGCTAACCATGTCTTAATTTGTTTGTGATTGTAGAGCAAAGATTGATGGGATATGATTTGATGCAGGATAGCGGCTGTCTGATGCCTTTGAAAGTTTGCTTCTGATGGATAAGCTACTTTGTGGAAGATCTGATTATTATCTTCTTTTGTGAGGTAAGAAGCAGCCTGTCTTGCAAAAATTTAGGGAGCATGTGAATTCATTTTATTTTCTGAATTGAAGAATTTTCCAAGTCTAATTTTTGTGACATATTGAACAGAAGCTTGTGTAAGTTTGGTAAAATTGTGATAAAGTCTGAAGGCGGGTAACGTTTCTATAGCTCAGATTCTTGTTCTTGATTTCGTTTATTTGTGTTCCAGGTTTCTTCGACCACCCAAAGCTGGATGTCAAGGATTTTAAGCATCGGGGCCAGAGACAAATAGGAATCTCGGAAAGAAAGTTAAATCGGATCGACCCCTTATTCAGAGAATAAAATGAAAAATTAGGGTTCGATCCGTCCACCCCCCCACACACACACACACACACACACACACACACACACACACCACGTCCCCTCTATTAGACAGATTATAAAGGTTGACTACTCTCCATCACACCCGGTGGTACAAACATTTTTATTACACTTTAATAATATTACAGTACAATCTTCCAATTGATATCACAGTAATATTACAGTCCTTTTCGTACAGTTTTTTATTACAAAAATCAAATCACTACTTCTTTCACAAAGTTTGTTTTTTCCACCCATCCAACGTCCCCCGCCGCGCCCACCACTTCAAAACAGTTTTGTTAAGTATTTACAAAAGTTTTCTACCCTGTGGTAGTAGCATTTATTTTCCAAGCATGCGTTTTGTGTAACCTAACTTCTGTCTTGATACACGTGTATTACAAGATGTTGTTACCATAAGTTTGAGCTTTTATAACTAATTAAAAGCTGCCTATAATGTATAGTGGTGGACGTGGCGGATTGACCCCCGATTTTGCTGTCTTTCCAAGGGTGACATTTGACTGCCTCCGATCCTGCTGTCTTTCCAAGGTTGGTAATTATCTCTGGTCTCTTGCCTTGCGTTTTGTCAATCTGAAGAAAATTGATGAACAGAAGAAATAAAAGCTTTATTCTGTTTTATTCAGATCCCAAATGAATTGCAGTTTGCCGTTAACGTAACTGACCCTGTGAAGGTTGTGAGTCCTAACTTCACTGATTTGAATTTCTGAATTACAAGATCTGATAGCTTCTATATAGAGACTTTTAAAAGAAATCAGCAAGACGGTTAGGCCGAGGAAAACTTCTATTACAAAATATACATATATTTTTCTTTAAAAATTTCGCGAATGAGAAGATTTAATTACCGTCTCTAACTGCGCCACTCTTCATCTTCAGCATAAAATATTGAGCAGAGTTTAGTTCTAAATGGAAACGTAAATAATCCGCCGTCGTCATTCCCTTCTCCCTCAGACCAAGCAAATTTTGGCAATTAAACGTTGTTGCCTTGCAGAACACGCTAAAAAATGTACCAAATAACAAACGCACGTGCTGAATCATTGATGTGCTCATTAAATTTTTTTGTTTGGCTACGTTTTTGTTTCCAAAGCCGTCTTGGTTTGCGAACGTCTCAATTCGGATGATTGGATTGCTGAAATAAAATATTACATAAAACTAGGCAAGATGTAGAGCTTACTAACCTGAAATAAGTACATCCACATATCGGCTTGAAACTTTCAATTTTTTCCCAAGCATAATAGACGATTCCTCCTTATTGCAATCTTCAAATAAATCATTGTCTATCTGAAAAAGATAATTTGAGCAAAAACATATTTGCAGATTGCTACACCTTTTACTGCAAGTTTATGTTTGGTTACAGTTAATTTACATCAGAAAAATTCAAATAAGAATAAAAGAAAAAGCAGAGCCAAAATAAACTCCATTTCACTTCTCTTACCAATTTCCCCACCCCTTCCCTCAAGAGGAAAGTATTCTACTCTAACCGGAAAGTGGTAACTAACTTCGTTGGCGCAGAAAAAGGCGAACATCACGAACACGACAGTTACCGTAGCATTCTAACACTAAGATAAAGTTGAAGAATAGCTAAGTGAGGGATAGCCTTAAATGCTGCTATTCCTACAAGTACGACTTCTTTACTCCATAGCTACAGGGGTCCTACAGGCCGTTAAAACACGTGCGAATAGCCACACTGAAAGACTACGAGGATGAGTGATATTTCCTCAAAAATAACCATATGTTAATTTTTTGTTTTTTTGCTCACTATTAATCAACCTATGTTGGCACGAAAGAATTAGAAACACTTAGAACTACCTATTGTTGAAAGAGCTAATGTTGTTTTTTGACATCATTTCGAAGGGTGCTAGTATCTTCATTATGGTATGGAAAATCTGCTGAGAGACTCACTGACTAGCTATTTTGATCAATCACGTCCTCGCTATGCATTACTTGGTTAAATTGGTGAGATATAATAGATGACTCTTGCCTGGCAACTTAAAATGTTACAACTTAACATCGGTCCAGAAATTTTCGGTCCCTCTTTCTTCATATTATGTTTGTCTGTTTATCTATTTTTGAGTTAGGTATTCATAAATTATTAATTTGTTTTCTACCAGGCTTACGCCGTAAATGTCAAGGACTGCTAGTTAATTTACTGAATAACCGCTCTTTAACGAGAGATTGAAAGAACCTATGCTGCACGAAAGATAGAAACCCTTTTCTTTGACACATCGCCGAAAGGAATTTGTAAAAACTGCATCCAAAAAATGTAACGTTGCTGTACGCAAAATTCAAGAGGCACAGTACTGACTGCCGAATGATAGGGAGGGAGGAGGAGAGAGAGAGAGAGAGAGGAAGAGAGAGCTGTAGTTTCTTTTCATGGGGTATTAAACGGACTCGATTACAGAGGTGTGGATCTGCACGATCATCTCAGAAGTACCCTTAAGGCAGCGCATGATCACAGCAGCAAAGTTGAGTTTCGTTATATATTTGTGGATCCACTATTTTTTGATAAATGTTACATCTATTAAACCTATCTCTCTCTCCAAAGATGTCCAAATATGGCAAACCGATGGTAGCAATATTCAATACTAAAATTCAATTTCAATTCAATGAAATTCAATTTCAACTCAATGCAATTCAATTTCAATTAAGTTCAATTCAAGTTCAATTCAATTTCAATTCAAGTTCAATTCAATGAAAATTCAAGTTCAATTCAATGAAATTCAAGTTCAATTCAATGAAATTCAATTTCAATTGAATGAAAATTCAAGTTCATTTCAATGAAATTCAATTTCGATTGAATGAAAATTCAAGTTCAATTGAATGAAAATTCAAGTTCAATTCAATGAAAATTTACGTATATGTGCACGATCCTTCGCAGTAAAGCACTATTTGAGCAATAGTGAAAATCAGACCTGAAAAAAATTTCAGGCCTGTACGGGATTCGAACCACTGACCTCTGCGATACTAGTGCAGCGCTCTACCAATTGAGCTAACAAGCCAACTGGGAGCAGGCCATCAAATTAATTCGACATAAACCCGTAGATGATAAATCAAACAACAACAACCATATGAAACATATGTATGAACTGCGGTTATGAAACGTATATGTGCACGATCCTTCGCAGTAAAGCACTATGAAAATTCAAGTTTAATTCAATGAAAATTCAAGTTCAATGAAAAAAATACATTCAAAATTGCTTCCGGTTAGTGACCGGAAATGATAACTATCATACGGGAACTTTCAGGCTTTATGTTTTCGTGCGGTAAGTTTTAAAATAACTAGCATCATGGCGGACGTAGAGCAAGAATTTGACGTGAAAAAAGACTTACCTGAATTTTTATCGTCAGCGCTCGAAAGAACAGAGCAGTGTATACATAAAAATGAAACGGATGTCAATGACTTGCAAGCACAATCTGTAGTTCTCGATCGAACCGTTAGTCTTTTGAGTTCTATTGCCTTAACTGACATTGAGCAAGATCGGATCGAGTGGGAATCTCTACCTACTGCTTTTGCAGAAGTACTACGGGCTATTGAAAATCATCTGAAAACTCTAGCAGTAAGCCCTTCATCAATTTCTCTACCTAAATGTAAAATTCTCAGAACGGGAAACCCTGGGAGACCACAGTTCTACATATCTCCTGACACGTTGGAAGATCTTCTCGGACTTGGATTTTCATTGTAAAAAAATTCTTGGTTGTTTGGTGTCTCGTTGGATAATTTATCGTAGCGCACAATCATATCAATTAAGTTGTAAATACAATGATATCTAACTCATCGCTTTGGTTAGTGTTTACAAGTGAAACAATAGATGAAACGTCACTTTCAAATGTTTTTGCCCTATAGCACATAGTTCAGGGGGTGGGCTAGAGGTGCTACATTTAAAAGAGTTATGTTTTGCTGGGCTCGGCCAATATCTTGGGTATCATGTCAACAATGGACTTTAAAGACTGGGCTTAAATTGTTGTATTTCCAGCTGAGATTGTTTAAGATGTTTAAATTTATATTTGAAATGTATGTTAGAACATGTTGAGTTGCAAAAATTGCGTTCTTTGGACCACTTGCACTATAGAAAGGACATGTTTAGTGGTGCCTTATAA